AACACCATTTTTTCTTCCATTTCAATGAAACGGTTTATTTCAATGTAATGGAACTTCGTGTGAGACGTTGGCAAGACACATTTGGCAACTTCACTATTTACTGTGGTTTGGTTGAAGAACAACTCGAGAATATAATGACAGTCGAAAAGAGTAACGTTAACCCAAGGACATTATTATTCTCAGAATTTCAGAGGTGCAATTACTTAAAGTTTGAAATCCTTAACAATGCAAATGGTGCCAATTATATCACTCTAAGCGATGTGTTATTTTACATTGAACAAAAGTACACCAATTTATTCAAACCAACAGACTCTGGCGTAACAATGACTGGATTTGTCGCTCGTAAGGCTCCTGGTCATTATGAAAACGTATTATTAGATAACACAGAAGATGGAAAAGGTCAAATAACATTTAATATGGTCGGAAAGCGTATTGGTATCTTTGGAGACTACGACACTTCTTTTGGTAAACTTGAAGTTCTTGTTGATGGTAAAGAATTGGAATATGACTTTCAAATTAACACAAAGACATTAACACTTCGAACACTTTACCATGCTTGCGCTTTCGAAGAAGGTACACACAATATCACAATTAACGTGAAAGAAGGAAAAGTTAATATTGATGTGATTGGATTTGACTAAATTATAATTTGCAATGTTTTCAAAATTTATTTTATGTTTTAATAAATAATTTATAAATACTCTTATTATGAACAGCCAATTAATAACAATTTAAATTTTAAAAACATTTTTGTTTTAAGTTTAATATATTTGCATCAACTAAAACAATTTACAGTTGTTAAAATAACCAATTACAGTAAAAAGGGGCTATTTGTCGCAATCTTATTTGTCGAACGAGTCTATTTGTCACTCCTGGCCAATCATTTGGGTTTACGAATTAAATTTTATGTTCTCGAATCTGTTCCTTTTGTTGAATTTAAACCAAATTATTACTTAAAAATAAAATTCTATATTAAATAAAACTTTCTGAAAAATTCTTTCAAATCCGACAAATAAATTATTTTTTGTGCAAAGATCTCGACAAATAGACCCTTTTCACTGTAATTTTTTTTTCAATTTGAAGACAAATTTAATAATAATAATAATAATAATAATAATAATAATAATAATAATAATAATAATAATAATAATAATAATAATAATAATAATAATAATAATAATAATAATAATAATAATAATAATAATAATAATAATAATAATAATAATAATAATAATAATAATAATAATAATAATAATAATAATAATAATAATAATAATAATAATAATAATAATAATAATAATAATAATAATAATAATAATAATAATATAGTTGTTTATAATAAAATATAATCAATTATATGAAACTGAAAATATTTTCATTAATAAAACTCAAAAAAAATTATCTTTTTGTGTAATTTTTGTAAAAACAATCAAAATGTTATTTAAAATGTTATTTTTCAAAACAATGAAAACCAATTTATTTAAACAAACAATTACTAAACTATATTTAAAATCAACTAATAACAAATTCCTCATTTAAAAACTTAAGAAACTAAATGCCACAACTTCCGATCAACGTGATGAAAAAATATCAACTCATTGTGATATACGAACATTTCTTCATATAACCGAAACTTGTAAATTGTATTCCGCATTACAGATGGATGATGAAATATACACCAAAGTGTTAAACCCCTCTGTCCCAAACCGTTGTAATGCAATTTCCAAATTAACACAACAAAACATATCAAAAACATATAACGTAACACAATACATAAGGAAAAAGAAAAACTGGAACACTCATTTTACAGCCCAATTAAAGGCGTTGTTCCTTTTATTTTTTACAAACCATTACATTGCTATATTTGACTTTATATGCTTATCGTTGTTTGTTGTGTTATATCCACTTGCACTTGATAATACAATAGAAGTGAACGTTGGATATTTTTCGTTGTTTTTAATACCTCCGTCGTTGAACATTTTTATTGGAACATATTGGTATGTCATTTTACGATCATGGTTCAACGATATGGTTTCAAATACAACACCAGATATGATAAAAATTCCAATACCATTTTATTATCTATTCACAATACGACTTGCAGATTTTGCTGATATCAGCCCGAATACTTTTTTACCGTTAATCATCTTTATAACATCAATTTTGTTTGTTATTTATTCGTTTGGTGTATTTTCAATTGGCTATGTTTTGTTGCCATTTTTGACACTCTTTTCTATCAATATATTTTCATGTGGTTCTATTTGCTCAATTGGTAAGCACAATGAAGACGATGAAGATTATATAGACAGTTCTAATTTATTCAATTGTCACTTTTCATGGGGCGAGTTTTGTAAATCGATTATTCTTTCACCTGTGATGACAACATTGATAATACTGTTAATGATTAAAATGATTAAAATAGACTTGTTTTCAAATGACAGTGGTCTCATATTAATTTCTCTTGTGTTTTCATTTTTGTTGGTGTTTGAAATGTTTAATGGACTTTTTATTTGGTGTTCGTATATTTTATGTGTTTTTGGGTGGGGAGACGAAGATGGAGATAACGAATTCACATGTTTTGGTGCCAATTTCATCAGAAAAAATATAACAACGAGTTGTGAAGCGTTTTATGTGGGTGTTGTAGGGTTCGTGCCAATAATACTCCTCACGACAAATTTGTGTTTATGTTATATAGTAAAATATAATAACGAAAACAATAAATTTAATTATATCAAAGCATTTATCCCTTTGATGCTGGCTGTTGGGTATATTTACATTTCAGGGTTTTTCAATGGGTGTAATTTGAAAAAGAAAAATAAATGCCCATTGTTGTGTCCAGATTGGTGTTATTGTTTGAAGTTTATATTCTGTTGGGTAGGTTGTGATGAAAACATTGAGTATGATGACTTTGAATTTTAGCTCAAAAGATATTTAATTTTTTTGTTTTATTTTTTGAAGTGCAAAAATAATCATTTTATTGAAAATATTTTATTTTGTTTTGAAGTCTGATATTAAAATTTAACAGTTTATATTTAAATATATTAAAACTTAACTGGCTGAATGTTTTTTAACCGGCCAAAAGTTTTTTTCTTTGGCTAAATGCACGAGACCAGGAGGCTCCAAACTTAAGTTTTTTTCACGAACAGAATGTTTTTCAAAAAGTGGTTGTGTTGAATTATATTTCTTTACAAAAATAATATATAGTCATGGTAAAAATGGTTGTTGATTGAATAAAGGTTCAGTTTATTTTTGTATTTCAAGAAAAGTTACAAATTTCTTCGCATCATCGAAATAATATTGAAAATATGTTTTTGAGCAAATAAAACTATTTTTAACAAAGGAGTGTATTTTTAAAACGAATTGTTTTCTACTCAATCTCAACATTTTTGTGTGTTGATTTTATAAAATGTATAACATTTTCAATTTTGAATCGAAAATTGTTTTTTTAATTCAAAAAACAAGTATAGTTCAATATAGTTAATATAGTTTCTGAAAAAATGAAAGTGCTTTTTTTCACCCCCTTTCATTTTTTGAGTAAAATAAGAAATGAAATTGAAAAATTATATTATTGTTAAATTTGAGTACTCCTCTTTATTACAAACAACATTTGTATTGGCAGCAAACTATACACAATCATGAGTATCAAAGTTGTGGTCACACAATTGTTTTTTAAATTTATTTTCTTGATAACATGAAAAATAGAAAATAAAGAGTCAATTGTTACTTAAATAAACGGGAAATCACCCAAATTGTATAAAAATATATTGCGATTAGATGTCAAATTGTTGGGGAATAATAAAGACAATTTTTTGAAACAATTCATATTATAATTATTGATAAAATTAACTATTAATTATAATAAAAACGATAAATACAGCTGGTTTCAGAACTCAATATTCATGTCCAAACCACAGAAAAAACCCGCTTCAAAAAAATTGAATTTTAAGCGTGTTGCGCCACAGTACAAAATCAGGTCGTGGCTGTGATTTATTAGATTTCTGTGAAACCCATGCAACAGAGATCATGGAATGTCTAACACTCCAACAACAAATGAAAAAGTTGAGAAGTGAAAAATGGCTTGAAAAGGTTTCAATTGGAACGAAAGCCAAAGTGTTGGGTGTCTCACCCTCGACGGTTCGCCTCAACAACTTGTATGACGATGTCGATGGGAAGTCTGGAAGAAAACGAGAAATTAATCAATCGAGAATGCCGTTGTTGTTGGAAACAATTCGAGAAAGACAAAACACCACCAACCCAATCACCACTAAAGAGATGGGAAATGTTGTAGAAGGAGTTGTTGGGAAGAAAGTATCAAAAAGAACCATCGCAAACAGTTTGAGAAGGGAGGGTTTAATTAAGAAGATTGCAAAACCAATGGATAAGGAGAGAGCTGAGCTGAGTAAAGATGAGTTAAGAAGCTATAAAACTAGAGCTGTTGATTTGTTGAACAATGACAAACAATTTGCCGGCGAAAGAGTTGTCCACTTGAATGGAATTAAACCCTCCCTCCTTATCAACATGGACGAAAGTGGTTATTGTCCATTTGTGGACTCAATAAAGCAACTTTTATGTTGACGACAACTATGACTACACCAACTCTTACTCTGTTGATCGCTCTCAAAAACGCATAACACTGATTGCAGGAATATTTGCCAACAACACCACACTGAAACCAATGATCATACTATCAAACTTGACAATGAAAAATGAAATCGACAGATACATAGACAGAGATGATGTTGAAATTGCATATCAACGCAAATCTTTCATTACGGAAGACAATTACACGTTGTGGCTTGAAAGATGTCTTAAACCAGAAATGGAATTAAGAAGAAAATAATGCCCACACGAATGGGCGGTTTTAATACAAGACAACTGTGTTAGCCACATTAAAGATGGTGCTAGAAAGTGGCTGTTCGAAAATAAAGTGGCTTTATTATTATTGTGCCCACACAGCAGCCACTAGTCTCAACCACTGGACGTCGTCATATTTGGCGTTCAAAAGTTTTTTATTTTGAAAAAACTTAATGAAATGATCTCAAAATTCAAAGCCGTTATAAGTCTTGTTAACATGTTTACTTTTTTTATTGTTATTGATATATAGAAAGCAATGGGTTCTTCCGTAGTTTCTCGGCTTGTTGGTATGAAGTACCCCATTGGTGTTATGTCTCAAAAGGATGATGTTGAAGATGAAGTCAAGAAAGCTACAAAGCGAAAAAAATGAAAATTTTAGAACTCAAGGATCAAGATGGTGCAATAGATGCTGCTAAGTCGGAAGAGTTGTCTGTTTGTATGGTCACAAAAAGAGTCGTTGAAATCATCCAATCGTTCAAAATTGCCTGCGTAAACAACAACACCTCAGCCTTTCACATGTGTGGTTATGTAAAAAAGCCAATTGAAAAAGAAAAGGATGGTACTTATGATGTCAGAATTTTCTACTGTGGGGAGTATGCCTTCAGAATACGAGAGTTTTTGGGAGAACAGGTTTGCGTTGTTTTTGTTGCCTTTCCTGAAAGAAGAAGCAACTTAAACATTGATAAAAACGAAGGCATTTTAAAATGATTGAAAAATTCATGTTATGTATGATTTATTTTTGAATATTTTCTGATAATTTCAATTTAAGTTGGGCTGACCTGTAAGATTAATTAAAGTACACAAGTTCAAAAGGAATTCAAAATGAAATTTATTTTTATTCTTCAATCATTGATAATATTATTTAAGTTTAAAATAATAAAAATATGGTTTTAAAAACATCTTTTTGATACAATTGCCAAATTATGACATTTTGTAAACTTTAAGTTTTTACAGATCAACTCTGATTTTTACATATTTAACAGATCAATGGAACTGATATTTTTTATTATTTACTCACGTTTAAGTAAGAACTGTATTTTCCTTAATTATTCTTACATCGACAATCTTTTTTTTCACAACTGTTTATTATTGTTTGTTTTTTATTTCTCTTTATTCAATGTGTTTATCGATAGCTTTATTTGCTTAAGTTAAACCAAAACTGGTTGTCAAAAGGTGGAATTGTGGAGTTTGTTTACGTTTTGTTAATACAGAAGTTGTTGACCATATAGGTTCAGCGTTTCTTTTGATGATTGGCTTTGTACTTGTTTAAAGCATAAAATACTCTTGCCATTGACTAGAGCATTCATCTAATTGAAATTTTTATCATCTTTTTGTTATTGTTTACAAATGAGAAGAAATCTTCTTTCCCTTCATTTTCTATTTATTTTTTGTTTTGATTTGAATAATATGTTCTTTTTGGTTCTGTTTAAAGGGAAAACAACTTCAATTAAAGGTACACCATAAGTGTAACTTTTATTGAAATGTAAAAATAAACCGAACCTTTATTCAACCAACAACCATTTTTACTTAACAACCTTTTTTACCATGACTATAATAAAAAACTTTAAAAATGGTAAAAAGGTGGATAATTAAAAAAATATTTTAAATATAAAATGTGTTACTATATATAATTTTTATCATAAAAATCAAGTAATTTATTATATATCTATATAATTATTTTGAAGTATATTTCATAACACTCGTTTATTACATAAATAAAATAAACAAGTTATTTTATAATAGTTCTAATTCTGAAATCACATATACAAATCATTGTACAAACCTAACAATTCTTGTTTTTAATAATATATAATTATGTTATATATAATGTAGATTTGCAATTGTATTTGTCTATTTTTTAAAGTTTAAATATAAACTATTTACATTA